TTTCATATCTCACACTGCTGTCTCCCTTCCCCCGTGGTGTCTGTTGTTCCTCCCCTGGAGGGTGTGTGCGGTTTGGTTATGTGTCATCATTGTGATCAGTTCTCTCTTCTTGCCTTCCTCTCTCCACCTTCCCAACCCTCCTGGTATTCCAACCCATTCCTTTTCCTGGATTTCCGTGTTGCTACACTGCACCCTGACTGGCTCATCTCTTCCCTGTGACCCTTTTGTGAGGGGATATCCAATTGTCTACAGATGGACTTTGGGTCTCCACTGTATGCCTCCCCCCAACCCCCATTCACCTTGGGTATGATTTTGTTCTGGGTCTTAGATGCCTCATACCCGATCCCATTGACACCTCGTGCTCACACAGGCTGGTGTGCTTCTTCCATGTGGGCTCTGTTGCTTCTCAGCTAGATGGCTGCTTGTTTATCTTCAAGCCTTCAAGACCCCAGATGCTGTATCTTTTGATAGCTGGGCACCATCAGCTTTCTTCACCACATTTGCTTATGCACCTGCTTTGTCTTCAGGGATCGTGCTGAGAGGGTGAGCATCACAGAATACCAGGTTGTTAGAACAAAGTGTTCTTGTGTTTAGGCTGGGCTTGAGCAAAGGCACAAAGTCCGTCCACTACCTTAGTGTATTGACATATAAATATATGTGCATAGAGCAATACCTCTATTTTTATTAATTAATGTATTTACATATGTATACAGCTATGTTATACCTCTATCCAAAACTTTGCTTCCTACCTCTTTCCTTTGTTTCTTTTTACCTTCTTCTTGCCCCACCATCACACTCGCCCTTCTTCTGCCTCTTAGTAATTCCTCTTAGGTAGATTGCTGATGTTCCAACACTCCCAGAATCTCTACGTCCTCGTTGTTGATTTTAATTCCTAGTTGTTTCCCTGTCTGTGGCGTTGTTTGTTCACCGCTCCTTTCCCCCATCTCCTTCTTACCCCCATGCAGTAATACTTTTTGGACTTAGGCTGTTATTTTTGTGACTATATCAGGAGACTACTTCTAATGCCATGTCATGTAGCTTAAAAGTGACCAACATAATTGTGTAACTAATTGAGTGTAATTGTGATAAATCCAAGAATGAAAGTATGTAAATATTTATGGAAACAGAGAGTACCACCTATTTCCTTCTGCAGAGTGACTACTGGGGTTTAACCACTAAGTATTTGGTTAGGAGCCATGCACTTTAACCACTGCACCAGCAAGGCTAAAGAAAGTACAGTTTTATACCGCTTCTAACCTTTTCTCAAGGTTTAGGGAACACTTCGATGAGTGAACAACTTTAACCACAAATCTGAGAGATGGATAGAAGTTAGGTGTCCTAAAGATGATTGGGGTGAAGGGCTTTATTCCAGTTAGACTATATATAAACATCACATTTAAAGTCTCTGAAGTTGGAATGGACTTTGGTGTACTCAGAAATTAAAGAAGAAAAGTCATGGCTCAAAGAGTGCCATGGAGAAATTAGAAAGTTGTAATAATAGGGAGATTATTATATAGGGAAACCATTGAAGGTTTTAAATGGTGCAGTGGTATATTTGGATTTGCGTTTTTGAAATTCACTAGTTTCTTGTTATTCACTGGGGGAAAATTTAACCCAGATTTGAAAAAAAAATTTTTTTAATGCTTTTATTGGGGCTTCTTACTTCTCTTGTCATAGTCCATACATTCCTCTAACGTGTCAAGTACATTTGCACATATGCCCCATCATCATTTTCAAAGCATTCTCTTCCCACTTGAGCCCCTGATATCAGCTTTCCATTTCTTCCCCTGCTTTGAAAGTATTTTATAGAGGGTCCCTTTTATTAAACTTCAAAGAGAACAAAGACAGTCATCCTGAAACGAGGGGGAAACCAGCATGTATGGTACAGAGGCTGAAATGGAGCTTACCCATTGAGACAGTTTATTGTGCCAGCCTAGCTGATAAACGCAGGTGGGATTGACTGAGGGGCGGAGAGATGGATGGCTTAGACATTAATAAGTGGCTTGGTGAGCCTTGCCTTTCTTGTCTCTCGCTCTGTGATCATCGGACCAGTGTGCGGCTGCCTTGCTTGTTCTGTGCTTTAATTTAAAGGCTACAGAGCCTGTGGGA